GTTTAAAGTAACAGAAAAAGAAAACTACAGACCAATATCTCTCATGAACACAGATGCAAAAATCCTAAATAAGATACTAGTGAACCGAATACAGCAACATATTAAACAGATTATACACCATGATCAAGTGGGCTCATCCCAGGGGCACGGGGATGGTTCAACATACACAAATCAATAAATTAAAAAATAAGAATCATATGATCCTATCAATTGATGCAGAAAAAGCCTTCGACAAGATACAGCATCCATTTATGATTAAAACACTTAACAAAATCAGTATAGAAGGAAAGAATCTTAACATAATAAAGGCCATCTATGACAAACTCTCAGCCAACATTATACTTAATGGTAAAAAACTAAAAACCTTTCCTCTAAGATCAGGAACAAGGCAAGGCTGTTCACTATTGCCACTGTTATTCAATATAACATTAGAGGTTCTAGCGAGTGCAATCAGACAAGATATAAAAGGCATCCAAATAGAAAACGAAGAAGTCAAATTGTCAATATTTACAGATGACATGATTCTCTATATAGAAAACCCTAAGGACTCCACAAGAACTCTACTGGAAACAATAAGCAAATACAGTAAAGTCTTTGGATACAAAATCAATGTTCGAAAATCCATAGTGTTCCTTTACTCTATTAATAATGAAGCGTCAGAAAAAGAAGTGGCAAAAACAATTCCTTTTGCAATTGCAACAAAAAGAATAAAATACCTACGAATAAATTTAATGAAACATGCGAAGTACCTATATCGTGAAAAGTACAAGACCCTATTAAAACAAATCGAAGAAGATACAAAGAAATTGAAAGATATTTCGTGTTCTTGGACTGGAAGATCAACATAGTTAAAATGACCATATTACCTAAAGCATTATACAGATTTAATGCAATCCCCATCAAAATCCCATTGGCATTTTTTAAAGAATAGAACAAAAAATCATCAGATTTGTATGGAAGCACAAAAGACCCTGAATTGCCAATGTCATCCTGAGGAAAAAAAAGGAGGCTGGAGGCATCACTTTACCCGACTTCAAATTATACTACAAAGCAACAGTAATCAAAATGGCATGGTATTGACAGCAAAACAGACACACGGACCAGTGGAACAGAATCGAGAGTCAAGAAGTAAATCCATATTTACATGGGCAAATAATTTTCAACAATAAATCAGCCATAAGAAGAGATGAAATACTACCATTTGTGGCAACAATGGATGGACCTCGAGATAATCATGCTAAGTGAAATAAGCCAGACAGTAAAAGTTGAAATACACATGATATCACTTACATGTGGAATATAAACCTAAGAGCAACGAATGAACAGGACAAAAAAAATAGAGACTCATGGACATGGACAATGGACTCGTTATTACCAGAGGGTAGGCAGTGGAGGAGGAGAGGGGAGGTAGACAGGGTAAAGGGGGTAGGGGGGGGGGGAAGGGGGTAAAGGGGTTGAAATATATGGTAGCTGAAGGAAACTGGACTTTGGGTGGTAAATACACATTAGAATATAGAGATGTCAAATTATAATGTACACCTGAAAATTATATAATTGTATTAACCAATGTTACCCCAATAAACGTAATAATAAAAAAAATAGTTATGAAAAAAAACACAATGAGCTATCACCTCATACTCATTAGGAGGACTACTATTAAAAAAAAGAGAGAAAACGGCAAGTGTTAGCAAGGATGTGGAGAATTTGAAGCCCTTGTACACTGTTGGTTGGAATGTAAAATAATGCAGCCACTGTAGAAAATGGTATGGTGGTTTCTCGAAACATTAAAAATAAAATTACCATTTACATGATCCAACAACTCTAATTCTGGGTATATACACAATAGAACTAAAAGCAGGGACTAGAACAGTTGTATACCCACATTTATAGCAGCATTATATGCAATAGTCAAAAGGTGTGCATCAACAGACGAATGGATAAACAAGAAAATGTAGAGACTGTGTGTGTGTGTGTGCGCGCGCGCGTGCATGCATATACAATATTCTTCAGCCTTAAAAAGGAAGAAAAATTCCTCCACATGTGACAACATGAATGAACCTTGAAGATATTATGCTAAGTGAAATAAGCTAATCACAAAAAGGCAAATATTGTATAATTATATGAAATACTGAGAGTAGTCAAATTCACAGAGACAGAAAGTAGAATGGTGGTTACCAGGGGCTGAGTGGAGGAGAGAATTACGAGTTAATGTTTAATGGGTAGAGAATTTCAGTTTCATTAGTTGAAAAGAGTTATGAAGATGGATGGTAGTGATGGCTGTGAATATACTTATAATCACTGAACTGTACCCTAACAATGGCGCGGATGGTAAACTTTATGTGTATTTTACCACAATTAACAAAAAATCTTCCCACAAAAACAAAGAGAAAAAGAATAACTTGATAGGAGAAACTTGGCAGATACTAACTTAACCAAGTGATCCGTTAACATCACCATTAATGGAACAAATACATATTATGTGCCTCCTGATATGAAGCACTGATAAGTAAAGAACATTTATGTAATACTCCTGCCACCAATGCCTAATCGGAATCTAATCAAGAGGAAACATCAGACAAAACCAGTCTGAGGGACATTCTAAAACATAACTTGCCTGCAATCTTCAACCGTGTTAATGACATGAAAGAAAAAAAGGCTGAGAAATTGTCCCAGAATTAAGAAGACTAGAAAAGACATGGTATCTAAATATAAACATGAACTTGGACTAGATTCTGCACTAAAGGGGAAAAAATGCTAAAGGACATCAATGGAACAAAGCACAAAATTGGAATATGGCTTATTGATTAGACAAAAGTATCATGCCAATGTAAATTTAGTGAAGCTGATAATTGTACTATGGTTTTTAATCTTTGTTCTCAGGAAAATACACATTAAAGAGCATGATGTATATGCAACCTACTCTTGAATGGTTCAGGAAAAAAAAGTATATATGTGTAAAGATATAGCTGTATCTATAAAGAGCAAAAGAGAGAAAGAGAATGATAAAACACATGTGGCAAATGTTAAGAACACTGGTGAGTCTGGGTAAAGAGTACACATAAGTTCTCTACATTATTCTTACAACTTTTCTGTAAGTTTGAAATTACTTCAAAATAAAAAGTTAAAAAAGATAACTGACACACTTACATATATTTAGACTGTAATAAAATAAAATAATAACAACCACATTTAAAAAGAAACATTGCAAATGTATAGCTTTCCAATAAAGGCACACATATCTTACCCCAGTAGTTGCCACAGGAAGTGGATTGGCTGTGTAAAGGCTTCTTTTTCCATCATACACTGGTCTACAGTCCCCAAATATAGTTACTTTAAAATGTTGAACCATTGAGTCAACCACCTCCCTAAAAAAGGCAAAAAATACATTCACATAATCCTTGGAATGATGAAATTTTAAAAAATTAACTGAAGTCATTACTTACACTATTTAAAGCTGTCAAAATTCTAAATGATGATCATACACAATAAATGTTTGCTTTCAGGACAATGGCTTAGGACACGAGAAAGGGATGATATGAATTTCACAAAAGACAGAGAAGAATAAATTCAGTGAATTAAATATTCTGGGCCACAGCTGACCAGCTAAATATTATCCTTAGAAACTGATCTGAAATTCCTTTCACCATCTCTAAGCACTATCTGACACATTCACTCTTTATCAAAGAGTTTGATGCTCTTTCTTCTGTGTTCAAATAGCACCCAGTACATGTATCTATTAGAACACTTACTCCATTGTATTATAATTATTATATACTTCATTTCTACTAGACTCTGTGATTCTTGAGAGCAATAATTGTACCTGAGCCTTGTACCAACCCCATCCTTTTAACATGCCCCCATTCTTAGAACAGTATCTAGTATCTAGCCATTAAGGATATTTTGAAACCTCCATTTTTTTACCCAGCAAACATTTTTATCCTATATACTTACATGGAAAAATATTTGAGACATATATTTTAAAAAGTACAGACTATAGAGAGAATAATGCCAAATATCCACAAATCAATATATTTTTTTTAATACACATTATTTGTAAAAGAGTAGAAAGATATCTGGAAGGATAGGTACCAAATAGATAACAGTGGTTACCTTTGGAGAGAGTAGTAGAGAATTTTTTTGTTCTTGTTTATACAATCTATATTATGATTAGAGTATACTCATATTGTACTGGTGTACAAAACAGTTTCTATTTTCCCTCTTTTCAATTTTATTTTGTTGAAACTACTTCAATCAAGAACAAGTCTTTTCTAGAGTAAATTTTACAAGAAAGATTTGATTCACTTATCAGTTTTTAGGTACAAAACAAATTTCAAAGATTTTTCTGCCATCTCAAGTTTTCTATTGTGGCTGTTATCATCAATTTGTTTTGAAGGTGAAATTTTACACATCAAATTTGTCAGGATGTTTTGACTATTTTATCATTTTTTACTGAACAGTAAACTGGTGTAGTTTTAAGCTAACCAAATCCTGGCAAACTACTTCAAAGATCAAAATGGTGGAGGTTAAAATAGTAGAGCCAAAAACACTTTAGGGATAAAAAATGTTCTGCTTTGGTGCCTAGCACACAGTGGATTCTTAAGGTGGATAATCTACCTTAGTGAACTGCTAGAATCTCCAATGAAATACACCTAAAGCCAAATTTAACATAGTTCCCCCATGCCAAATCTGGTTATCCTCAAGTTTATTATTCCTTTTTAACGATTGGTGTCTCCATTTTCCCATTTATTCAGATTCAAAACCTGGCCCATTTCTTCATCCAATTTGTTGTTGACTCCACAGCTCTGCAGTATTTCATACATCAGTTCTTTTCTTCTATTCCCAGTTACCATCATCCCAAATTAAAACCTCATGTCCTGGTACCTGAATTCTTGCTTTTCATGCCTTTAATGTTTTCTTCTCCAGCCCAACTTACATACCAAATAAGTCCCCAGGTACAAAACGTTAAGTTAATCATACTCTGCAGTTCACTGCACATTATCATCATTCGACTGTATAAAACCCCTATTTTACCCAATGATTTCTTTTCTTCTATATTCACTTCTTATCCCCTTTTCAATAAATTATTTCTTCTAACGTGTTTGATGAACATCCTTCTGTTTGTATGTATTCCACCTTTACCTGCTCTGCACTAAGTTATTTAAAAGTCAATTCACATTGCTGTAGGACATTTAGCTCATTGTTTCTGACTGATGCAAAGCCTTCCACATGTTATCTATCCACTCCCCCAGCAATATAGAACAGAAATCAAGAATATCTGCCAGCCACTAAAAATAATGTTGCAATGCAATATCTTCTTCTGTGTCCCCTTATGAACCTGTGTGAGAATTAATCTCTGGTTATATACCCAGGGACAGAACTGTTAGGTCCAAGTGAATTTTATCAACCAAATGATGAAGAACTGTCAAACTGCTCTCCAGAATGGCTGCAGTAATCTATAGTCCTGGAGATTCTATTTCCCTGTAACTTAGACAAGATGTGGCATTACCCAGCTTTGCTTTCTAATTTTTGCTAGCCTAGCGGGTAAAACTAAAAGCTTGTTTTAACTTAGATTTTTCTAATTATAATGAATTTGAGCATCCCTCATGTGTCTGTTTCTTCTTTTGTGAATTCCCCATTTGCTTCCTTTGCTCATTTTTCTGTTAGGGTCTCAGTCTTCTTGTTTAATTGAAGGAGTTTATTTCATATTCTAGATATTAACTCATTAACAGGTTTAGTTATTGAAAGTATCTTCCCCCAAAATGTTATCTGCTTGTTAACAATGACTATGTATTTGCTTAACTGAAATCCTTAATGTTATAGCATCAAATTAATCATTTTTTCACCTTATAGTTTCATGCTTTTGAGCTTTTAAGAAATACTTTCCTAAACTAAGTCACAAAAATGTATTATGTTTTATTAACTATAGTTTTATCTATATTATTTTGGTCATTAATCCATCTGAGGTCCTTCTTTATAAAGGATCCAATTTATAACGACTTAATTTTATTTTTCTTCATACAGTGAGCCAGTTTTCTCATACCATCTACTAAACAGTCTATATACTTAACCAATCGATTTATAATGCCATTTTTATCTTATTAAGTTCTCATGTATAAATTGATCTGGCTTTGAGTTCTGTTATCGTCCCAGTGATCTTGTCTGTTCTTGGACCAGTATCACAGGTTTTCATGAGTACCAGTGTTTTATAATGCTGTAATGTGGAGCAAGGCAAGTTCCTTTTCTTTTTCTAAGTTAACTTGGATATTCATGGAAATTTTTACTCAAATATTCATGGAAACTTTTATTCAGAATAAACTTCGAAAGTCCTCTGCCCTTCCCTCCAAAAAATGATCAATAACATAAGTACAACAAACATCTAGTGCCATGCATATACTAAATATTAAAATATCTGTTGGTTAAAGAAACCATCAAATGATACATACTTCGGAGATGTGACTAGTATGCTAAAAACAAATTAGTGTGTTAAATCCTACTAACAAACTACAACAATGAACTCAATGAAGATGAAACATAAGGGCAATTGTAATATCTAAACACTTATGTTTGAAAAGTTCAACTGCAATAAGAACAATTAGAGGATCTGAACTTACCTACTGCTCTTGTGGAAAGGGGCTTTAGGTGACTATAAGTCCAGAATGAGCTAACAGTGTGATGTAGCTTCCTCAAAATTAAAAAACTCAGGTTGCATATATTTAAGTACCCAGTATAAGGTAGGTAACCATCCCATCATATATTACAGAGGTCATTTCACAATCTGGAGTACTCTGTTCAATTTGGAAAAATTTAATGCCCTAAAAAATGAAACATAATCAGAAGAAGGTAATCCTGATAAAACTCATGTAGTATGAGTAAAAAGAAATCCAACTAAGGACTTTTACTCTGGAATAAGAAAGACTCAAAGGAAATTATATATAAGTCTTTGGCTATTTTGATGGACTGTCATGTGAAAAACTGAGTAGAAAACCTGTGGGAGGATAGAACTAGGACAAATAGCTGAAAAAATACAAAGAGCTAGATTTTGAACAAAAATTTCTAACATTTTTTAACCACCAGAGTTATTCATAAGTAAATTATACCACCTTTTAAAGTGTCTGAGTTCATCCTTGCTAGAACTGTTCAAAGAGAAGTTAGGTCAGGGAAGGTACCAATTAAAAGATTGAAATAAACAATCTTTGCAAGCCCTCTAACAGTTTGCTCAAATAGTAAAATTCAACTAAGAGAATACCAAACAATGAAACACTGCAGATTTTATCATGGTATCAAATATAGAAACTCTTTTAAGAAATAATTACACTAAATACTGATTGGAACTTAAGACCTCAGAGCTTTAAGGGAATGGTTAGAATATACTGGGAAATTTTAGCATTAAACTACTTGAGTTCACAACTACTAAAACCTTTGCTTCAAAGAGAATCAGCTTTTATAAGGACCACAATTTATTAAGTCTCTTCATTTTAATCTCTCACTAATATGATGTGATTAACTGATACACTTAGAGCTTTAACAAAACTTTAGTAAGAAGTTAACAAATAGACAAATCCAGGCATTTGAGTTTTCATTTCATATCTCAGAAGATACTGGCAAAGCGTAGTTTATTAAGAATGTTCATCATGCTAGCATGTGGAACTAGAGCAGAAACCCTGCAACAGTAATTTATCTAGTCAGCTACAGCAGCAAAGGTACTCATTGCATTATGAGGAAAGTTTGAATTAGGAAAAGCCAATTTGAGAAAACTTTAAAATATGTGGTAAGATAAGTAACAGAGAACAAATAAGTAGACATAAGTTTTAGTCTCACTCGGCCACTAAGTTGTTACTTGCCTCTCTGACTTTAGCTCCTTTATCAATAAAAATGAGATAATAGTCTCATGGCTGTTACAGGGACCAAATGAAATATTAATGAAAGTACTTTGAGAGAAAAATGCAAATATGTATGATACTATTTTTATATAAAAATTCAGCATATTATCTCAAAAATATACATCAAGAATTATTCTGAAGTACTGAAGTCTTTCAAACAACTGGACCCATCCCAATGCATTAGCATCAAATAGAGTAAATTAATACAAAGAAAGAATTCTGATAATTAACAGAAACTGTGAACTGAATTTTCTCTATATTATAGTTGTGAAGCACTAGTCTTTTATTATAACAATGGGTTGTAGGGGATACTTTGATATTTTGTTCAAATGTAGAAATGTTAACACAATATATAGATGTATATTGTTAAGCCAGCTTCATAGCTTACAATAAAAAGTAAAACTACAATAAGTAAAATACATAAAATATTATAACTTCTAAAGTAATACATAGGAAAGCAATTTGGGAAAGAAAATTTGAGTAAG